TGGTGCCGAGCATCAAGCAGAGAAGCAAGACGAACGACACTGTGCGGCTGAATAAATTAATTCTAACCAAAAAGAAAGACAGCTTGGAAACATATTCTACAGCGAATATCTAAACAAGAAACATGCAATTGCTATGGAAAGCAATTGAGAGGAAAAGACTGCACGAAAGAAAATCAATGATGATCCTAAAAGACGAACAGAAGATATAGAAGAGTCGAATGACAGAAAGAAGAAATTGAGATCAAATCAGCAAGCACTTTGCGATCATTTTCTTATCTTCGAATATTTGTTTTTTTTGTCGTACCTGTTTTTAACAATTCTTGTCATGTAGTCGATCTCTATACTGACTGACTCTATACTTCAATCCTCCATCAAATCGAGGTTGCTCCGAATTATATTTGGGATGATGAGAGTTGTTGTTTGGACCCTCAGCCTGAGGGGATTGTCGAAATCCTCCACGACCACGGGGTGATCTTCCCCCCCTTCCGTTTCCAAAATTCTTGAAACCCCCACCATTGAACCTTCCCCCCCGGCCACCTCTGTTTCCTCCATAAAATCCGCGTGATTGATTCCCAGGTGATGCCATTCGCGCCAAGCCCTGAGTCAACAAATCATGAATAACCAACCAAAGATGAATACTTCGATAAACAGATGAAGACAAATATCTTAAATTCACTTACAAGAAGATCGTCGGGCGGCGTTTGGCCAACATCAGCGATGACTGACGAAATCTCCTTCGCCATTCTGAACTTCTCTGCGTCGTTGATCCCATCGTTGAAGAGCGTTATCGCAGTCCCTTGAGCCCCAGCTCTTCCAGTTCGTCCAATACGGTGAATATAATCTTCAATGGTCTTTGGGACATCAAAATTGATAACGAGATCGATATTTTTGATATCTAATCCACGCGATGCAACATCTGTTGCGATTAGTGTGTTTACTCGTCCGCTCTTAAAATCTCCAAGAATCCGATCACGTTCTCGTTGTTCCTTATCCCCGTGGATGGATGCAATTTTGACGCCAGGTAATCGATTTCTCTGAAGACTGTCCCGAAGAATGTCACAACCACGCTTCGTTTCGCAGAAAATCAAGATCTTTTTATTCGATGGTCCGGATGTCACTTCGCCTGGAATGCTGCTCAGGTGTTGGAGCAATCTCGGAAATCGCGCATTATCGGGACAAACTTCGACGATTTGACGAATACATGTGTTTGCTTGGAGATCATGAGAACCAACAGTTACGCGAACTGGATCGTAGCGACAGAAATCACGCGCCAAGTTTTGGATTTCCTTTGGCCACGTGGCTGACCACATCAGAGTCTGACGATCAGGTCGAATTTGTGAAACAATTTTCCTGATTTGAGGCCTGCGACAAAGTCATCATGAAAGATAAATAAGATTGTATCATGAAATCTTTCTTGCTCATCATCAAGTCTTATTATGCATCATCATCATATATATCATCAAGTCTTTCTCATCTTATTAGCATCATCATCATATTTATCATCAAGTCTTTCTTACTCGAATCCCATATCAAGCATCCGATCAGCCTCATCGAGTACCAAGTAAGTCACGCGTTTTAGATTTGTGGTTTTCGTTTCGAGGAAGTCAAGCAACCTTCCTGGTGTTGCGATGCAAATATGAACGCCATTTTGGAGAGCCATCGCTTGGGGTCCTCGCTGCACCCCGCCATAAACGCAAACGACTCGAAGACGATTTGGGTCAACTGCCGCGAACCGGAATGCCTCTTTTTCAATTTGCATGGCCAATTCTCTCGTTGGCGCCAACACAAGGACCAAAGGACCATCAAAACTCTATCAGAATCAAGACGTCATACAAAAGTCGAAATATCATACAAAAGTCGAAATATCAAGATATCAGCACTTGTCTCCCTTGATGCTACCAAGTGTCCCAATCTGAATGAGAAATTCGACTTACTCGCAGCGGCGGCTGTTTTTCAATATGAATAATTCCTGGAAGCAAGTAAGCAAGGGTTTTTCCCGAGCCGGTTTGGGCCTACAAATCGATAACTCGACAATGCGATATCTGGGTGGAACGTACAATCCCAATCATATCACGGCTTGACAACGCACTTGGCCATCCACAACATTGAATTGGAGTCGGTGATGAATACAGGCGGTACAATTCACCAATCATCCAATCTGAAAGAAATACAATTGAGAGAGACTATCAACCAGGCATTTGAAAAAACATATCGACTATTGATGAAACCACCAGAGAGTGAGACATTTTATCAAGCAAAGAGACTTTATAGGAGTGATGGAGTATCGTCCAGTCAGCTATACATAAATAAATCATCCATGAATCCGAAAGAGATTTCCTTTCGTTGACGCGAAAATGAGTTTATTTGCATCATCGATTCTGAATATTCTAGATCTTCCAATTTGTCAATACCTGGAAATGGAGCGTGATCGAAGCTCTGGATTGGATTTGGGACAGGCTTTCCATGGGCTTGGACGGTGATCTCCATATCACGATACATTTGTTTAACATCTTCATCAGATAATTTCGCTACATCGGGATGTTCCGTATATCCACAATAATTTGCTTCTTCCAGATGTTCATTCTCCCATAGAACTGGTTCAAGATGCATTCCCGCACTCAATTGGTCTTTATTATAAGGTCGAAATTTCATCGAATAATTATTGAAGGACGAACGATCCGCGTGGGACTGCTCGAATCTTTGGGACTCAAACTGTCCGTTCATTGGAAATTGGCGATTCCCAAAATGGTCATAGCGGGAAACCGGTTGGGAATGTGGGAAAGAAGGAAAGTTACGCGACGAATCCGTGTAATTATTATTTGAGTGATGATGGACATTCGGAGTCTTCGGCAACATTCGATGAATCCCCACTTGGTAATCAGAAGACCGTTGATGTTGTCGATCAACGTCAAATCCACGTGGTCGACGTTCTTGCTGACGTCCACGTTGAAACTGAGAGTTGTAAGCGGGTTGATCAAAATGGCCGCGAACAGGATTTACAGGTATCGAAGATTGCATTGGATTTGACATAACGGACAGAAAAGGAACCTTACAAATAAATCAAACAAAAACAATACAAGTTATAGGATCCTTCTGTTCTCCGTTTCAGTTTTTCAATGTTTTCTTCTTCGCCACGAAGCGCCCTTTCCCTTAACAGGACAGGTCCTATTGAGCTGCATGACTTTTCCAGGACCACTAATGTTGACACAAGAGATTGGGACCGATCTTTGTTTTTGAAAAGAATTCGCGATCAGTTGGAGTTTTCGAGAAAAGCAAAATGCACGCAGACACCAACACGTTCTATCTGCCATAACTTCTGGAGCGCGAACGACGTGAATAACTGTGGCTCCGACGGTCATCACGATGATCTGACACAAAAAAACCAGTTGTTTTCAAATGTTTGACTCTGTTGTTGCAGATATTCTTTATACGCTCAGTCTCACCTCTGCGCGAATATCCCCGACGATCTCCATCAATACGGCGCGACCCACTCGATGAATAGTAAGGATCACGACGACGTTCATGATAACCATCACGATCACTCCGATCGCGTCGTCCATAATGATCAGGTCCTCTTGATCGATTTCCTCCACCTCCTCCTCCTAAAGTATCACACTCAGATGATTCTCTAGATATAATGAAATGAATGATCTCAAGACGTATTCTGTCATTCAATGACGTTGCAGAGCTTCAATGCCCTCTATTAACCAACGATTGCTAACATTCAAATAAAACTGACCTCCGTAGGGTTTTCGTGTACACAGCGACCTCATAACATCAGGCTACGAACGACACAAGAACCCGCAAAGAGCTTTAGCGGCGGCTTTACTGCTTTGATTTGTCTTTTTTCTATTTTTCTTTGTATGTCTTTTTCTATATTCTTTGTATGTTGCTACGACCATTAAACAGCGGCACAATACTAGAGAGAACCGATGCAATGACTCTATCAAGGTGCCTTACTGTCTTGCGACGGTCTTGAGCAAGAAGGACGGTGACCTGCACGGAAGTGGATTCCATAATAACAAAAACTTCATGGGCTTAAATATTGCTACATTCTATTCTTCAGAGCTCATTACTTTCAGGCCGTTCTATGACATCGATGTCTCTTACTTCATTTCCATCAACCACCGTCTTGTGTACACTTTTAACTGCAACTCCCGCATCATCAGCTGAACAAACAAGAAATGTTGAGAAAAATACAATCCTGGATCAGCTCCATTGTTCAGATTCCAGACTGTGCTGATGAAGCACCATACCGGAAAAAAACTCCACGAAGGCAAAGCCTCTTGGCCTTCTTGAGAAGTAGTCGAGTGGGATATAAACATCTCGCACTGCTCCATATTTTTCGAAAATTTTTCTGACTTTGGCAGGAGAGGTTTCAAATTTAAGATTTTTTATTAAGACGCTTTTCCCTTCAGCTGTTGGATCTGAGTCCTCATTTCTAGAATGAGCTCGAGAGTCACTGGGGTCCTCATTTGCATGATGACGGTCTGTATCGCCATTCTCGGACATTTTCGCAGCCTCCGTGCCTTGTTTTGTTTGGGGGACAGTACAGAAACCTCATATCCCAAAAACCAGAAAAAACAGAATCTATTAGTAAATTCCAGGTCCTGTAAGAAAAGAGTGTTTGCTGGCGTGACGAACAATTGTGGCACTATCAAGCACACACTTGTATAATAGTATCCACAGAATGCACCCACTCCAAGTCCAAGCGCTAGAGAGCATCTGAAAGGAGATTCGCAACTATTTGTCACTCCTTCAATGATTTTATGACATTCAAAGGAAGAAGTCCGCCCAACACGTGAACTCTTTTGGGACTTCATCACAGCTCTATGACGGACCCTTCAAGTGTGCGAGCAGTGAATGAAGCTTGTTTTCGAAGGAAAACATCTTGGCGAATTCTTGACCAATGAAACGAGATCCATCCAAAAATACCCCAAACTGTTAAGAGGCAAGTTCCTGACAATGGTTGGAACATTTGTTTTTTGTCGCCCTCGTGAACAACAAGCTCTTTCATACTAGAATACTTTGATAAGCTGAACGTAGATCTTACCAACGACCGTAAATCCCAGCAAAACTGGGCCAGTGCGCCTGCGAGAGGACATGAATGGATTTCATAGAGTGACCACTGTTGTGTTTACCTAACAGCGTGGCCTAAACAGATTCCTGCAGCAGCTCCACTGCATAATTTGACAGTCATTGCTTGTGTTAGATCCATACCAACATGTTGAACTTCATCTTTATGTTTTAAGTATTCTGTTGCTCTCAAATCAGTTTGAGTTAATAATTGCTGATTGACTTGCCGATCGATTGGTTGGTCGAATGGCTTATAAATAGGTTGATCATCTTGGGACGCTAAACAGTACACAACCCCACTCCCAAGTGTCAAACGCTTCAATGCATTTCGACCGAAGTACAACATATTCACCATTTTTTCAAAAAAGGTCTCCTGTCACAGAAAACAAAACCTATTCATTATTATTCAGAGCTTAACACCTTTGATTCGAAATCATTCCAATTTTCTGTCAATTCTACTCCATTCAATGCTACTCTGTGTATTTCCTCCGAACATTTCGTCAGAGTGTTCCCATTCAATGAAGTGCAAACCACATCATCGTGATGATCATTGGATTCATCTTCTCCGTTTATCGATTCTTTATTCTCAGAATTATCTTCCATACAATCTGATGATGGTTTCGCTGCTTGTGGAACCGCTTTTGTGAATGACCACCAGTTCCATGAAAATCCGGACTTTTGTGGTTCCTTCAGTTCACTTGTTCTTGTTTTTGTGATACCTTTCGACCGCACTGTCCCAAATCGCGATCTGATTGACCGAGTTCGAAGAAGCACAGGGGTTGGAGTATCTGATGGCTTGGGTGCTTCTTCCTGTTTGTTGATTATTTCTGTTTCTTTTTCGAGTGATTCGTGGGATGTCGGAGGAGTTGGATGAACCTTCTTCCGTCCGCGCGATATTTTAAGTAGCGAAATGAATAGGTCTTTATAAGAGGCGGGACGTTGGCGACCTACAGAATTGGGACATGTTAACGATAGCATTGGGACACGGAAAAACAAGACAGAGACAAGGTGAATGAATGTCCCTTACAGTTGAGAAAGGGATGGTGAAGAAGCTCGTTGGCAGTCATCCTGAAAGCAATTTTGAAAATCATCAACACGCATTCATTATAAATTCGATGAATTTCGATAAATACATGCATTCGAGCGAAGAGATTGAATTTCCTCTGTATCAATGCATTATCACCTTTTTGTCGGATCGCGTTGAAGACAGTGTGCAACAAAGTCTTTCAATTCCGTCGAAAACTTCATTTCTACCATTTTGGATGGAGGACGGTCGGTTTTGATCAATTTTGACGGATCTGGTCCTCTCGAACTTTTTCCCTCTGGAGGAACGTTTGTTGTTTGTATCTCCATTGCAGCTATTTCAGTGCTCAATGGAATGTGTTGAGAGGAGGAGAGAGTCCATGGAGTCGTACTATCGGCAGGATCCACAAATCCGTCGGGATCCCCCTTCGCTCGACCATAAAGGGATTCTCTTCCACCTAAACGTCCCGCTGGAAATATTCCATCTTGAAGTCGAGGCTCAAACAATCCATCAGAGACAATCAATTGGACAATCTGAAAAGACAAAATCACTTTCAGAAATCCCTTCCGTCTCAGAAATCATTTTTGTCTCTCTCTTTTTTTCGATACGCGGTGTACGACACAGTGACAACAGACTAACTGCTGGATTATCGATCAGACCCATGTAGCGCGTATTTTCAACTCACTTCCTCAATTCGCTTTCCATGAAATTCTGGAGGGAGTCCAGCTGTTGCCATTTCTAATGCGGTGATTCCTAGACTCCTAGAATAATGAGGAGGAATTTGATAAATTCCTAAAAAAGTAACTATTATGAATATAAAAGTATTTTGATAAATTTCAACGGCTACGATGACCATAAAATATTTATAAATCAAATATTCAAAAATCAAATATATATTTCTTTAGAGAGTATTTATGAATATTGAGATTGTGTGGAATGACATTAAATAGAGTTCTTCCATTTGAAACGTACCAAATATCAGCGCTTATTTCTTCCCCGTCTTCAAGACTGAGAGCCTCTGGTGGCATCCATTGAGGGGTTCCGAAATAAGCGCGACTCTTCTGACCTGAAGAAGTTTTTGATTAAAGGAAACAGATCACTTTCTTCTAACCTTTTCTCGTAATCGTTGAAACACCAAAATCTACTAATTTTGCAACCGCTTCGGATGAGAGAAGGATGTTTGACGCTTTAATGTCGCGATGGATGCAGGATGCTCCACTTCCACCAATAAACGTCCCTTCATGAAGGGCAGCCAACGCAGAAAGTACATCAGAGAGAATGGAGGCAATCACGGGTTCAGGTAAGGGGCCAAAATCGGTGTAAAGGCGATGAACAGAACCAACAAGGAATTCTTGAACAATAACGAGAAACGTTCCGGACTCAGTTGTTGTCGAAAATGATTCTATGGACTCGGCGATTGAAAGATGATCCGCTTGAGAGAGAAGCGCGGCCTCAAGACAAATTCGCTCTAGATCATCTTTATCGCCGCCCTCTATTTGATTAATATTTATTATTTTAACGGCAACTGTGATATTCGTTTCAATCGATTGAACCTTCTGAGCAGGTGCTATATGCTTCTTGGAGAGTTGAGGACTTCGAGGTGACTTTGCAACTGGAGTGTCTTCAACATTTTCCACCTTTTTTTCACTCGGAATTTTAAGAAATCTACCAAAAAATCTAGAGACGGTTAATCCAAATCCTTTTTTTGCTGACAAATCAAATCGAGAAGGTTGTGGTTGCACGAAACTTTTCTCTTCAGAAGATTTTGGGACGAATGAGGCAGATGTTTGCGGTTGTGCCTGTCTTGTATCCGACCGAGGCGACACACTAAGAACATGTGTCTCTGGCGAACGCATCGAAGCAATCAGCGCTCGACGCTTTTCTGCAGCTGAGTTGTCGATTTCAGAAGGTTTTGTTTTGTTGGTTCCCTGCAATGGCGATTCAACAACACTTGAAGAATTTCGGATGGGAGACGGAAAAGATTCTTCCAATGACATGAGAACCTTCGCTTGATAAACAACACCATGGGAGCCGCAATTAATAACGCGCTCTAAAACATATCTGCAAAAAAAACGAAAAAAAAAAACAACATAGAAAAAAGAGTTTGAAATCATGTTTCTCAAAACGACTCACGAGAAGCCGATTTTTTCATTCAAAACTGAAGATTGGGGAGATTCATTCCGAATGATCGTTCCCAATGGAAATGTGGCTGAAATAGTCCCAAAGGATGGAATCACTGTTGAGAGGGCTTTCAGTCTGTTATATGCACCACCAGGCTCGACGGTTGGTGATTGACTCGATGCCTGAATTGGAGTTTGGAATGTTTGCTGGTTCTCTTCAGCCATCCACACAACATCCTCAATGAATGGTGGCTGAGTTGGGACTTCGTTGTTCTCGATCTTATCGTTGTTTTCGTTGTTCTCGATCTCATTGTTGTTTTCGTTGTTCTCGCTTCCATCGTTGTTGTTTTCACTTTCAGATTTATTCAAGGTTTGTTCTCCATTTAACATTCTTGGCGCGCCTGCTGATCTTGAGCCACTCGATCGGGTTGAGCTGCGTCCTAAATTTGGAATTTCAATCAAACTTTGTTGATCTTCATCACTGTCTGTATGTTGTTCATCACTTTGGCTTTCTTGAGAATTTTCATCACTTTGGCATTCTGGATAATTTTCATAACTTTGGCTTTCTTGGCACTCATCATAAGTTTGGCCTTCTTGAGAATTTTCATAAGTACGGCACTCTTCATCAATTTGAATCTCTTCTTTTATTTGAAGTTCAGAAGATGATCCGCTGATTGCAGGAGTGACGAGAAAATGAGAAAATTCAATTGATGAGTTGCTTGTTGATGAGTTGCTTGAAACATCTGAAGATGGGGGAACGAATCGAAGATCTTGAGAAGAAACACAAGCTGGAAGAAATTCAGCAGGAGTAGGAAGTAAATTCTGTGGTGGTGATAAAGAAGGACGCTCTGAGGATTGGGACAAGGGAACTCGATGATTGGACGGATAGAAGGAGAGTCTTCTGGATCGCCAACGCTGATGGTGACGATGAGATCTCGAATTGGGACATAGAGAGAGCAGGATGACGGTATAGATAATGACGGTATAGATAATGATGATATTGTCTTATTGGGTGAGGAATCCAAGAGTCCATTGCACAGAATGGGAAGAGAACGAGGGCGATACAAGTGTGTAGAACTATGGCAAGGAGATGCTATTTGGGATTGACCAGAGCAGGAATAGATCGAAAGAGATGAAGGATGGAGTTGTTCCATAGTCTGGTGTGTTGTTTGTTTCGTTTCCATTTAAATGGTCTTCAAATACTGTCACAGACGGTGATCCGTCACCATGAGACTGTTTCCTCTTTCCTATCCCCACAGAGATTTTGCAATTATGGATGGATTGATCTACAAAAATTTCCAGTTCGTATTCCCATCCCGTTCCATGTTCCTGGGAATCATTCATGGAAGCCCTTCCCGTATCCATTCCCAAATCAGTCCTTTGTGGATCCTCGCATCATCCTCATTGGATCCCAAATGGTCAACTGATTCCTGGCTCTCAGACATTTCCTCAGATTATATCGGACATTCAATGTCGTCGGGATCGAGGAGGCAAGAAGCTGAAACGTCGTAATCGTCTGCTACGATCGAAAAGATGGGAAGCGATGCGGAAGTTTGAAGCTGTGAAGAGCGTGACCGCTACAAAGGGGAGAATCCTTCGAGAATAACAAAAAAAGAACCAATCAGTCCCGGATCCTTTGCAAAGAACAGACAGCGTTATCGCCGACACGGAAGGTTCAAAAAAGATCACAGAGCATGAGGAAAAAAACGAAATGGAAGGCTAGATAAGATCAATGTCGTGCGCGTCTAGAGCGTTTCTTTGATTAAAGCTTCGATCATTCCATGAATACGATTGATGTCCTTCTTCATAATTCTGTTGATTCTGTTGATCATATTGTTGTTTGACACTCGGTGTTGCCCCACACTCAAAAGGATTTCCGGCAGCATGAATAAATGAGAGTGAACTTGGATGGCTGAGGACTGATTTCTCAGAATCATCATATCTATCCACTCCCGGATTGAATAATCGTGATAATTCAAAGAAGAATTCTCTTTCAATTCGATTTAATGCATTAAATATTGATTGAATGAAATTATCTCGTTCTTCTAAAAGTTTTTGAACTTCAACATTCAGTTCAGATGTTATCACTTCAAATTCGAGTCTTGCCTGAATAGAATTCAAAATACAGAAGTCATGTTGAATAAATCATCTAATATCCTCAAAGTCGAATATCCAATATCCTCATCAAAGTATCAATATCTGAGTGAAAACAGCATTTTACCTTTTCCGCCTTATTTTGGCGTTCAACGACTCGCAAATCGCCCGTTTGAAGAGCTCGATTCAACTGTAGAACAGAAATTGACGGAAATTGGGGACTCAGCTCAACAATTCACCTTTTTTTCTTCGTCATCCATCCGCTGATAACATCGGTCGCGTGCTTCGAACTTTTTTGCACTAATTGATAAAATTGAATAAAAAAATCGCAACAAGTGCAACTCACCTTGAGAAATGCTCGCCAATCTATTTTTAATGTCATAGTTAATTTGCTGGAGAGTTCCAACTTTGCTATCGACTAAAAGATAATTGTGGAAAGATCATTGTCGAATGATAAACTCTCAAATATGGAAATGAAGAAATCTGACTTACTTTGTTGAAGTAAATCTGAGTGACACTTGGAGTATGATGCCGTTGAGTTATTCAACTCTTCTCCATCTGAAAACAATCGTTGAAGAATTGACTGAATGGAGAACCAGTGAAGAATTGAGAAGTAAATAAGCGAGAAGTGAATGAATAATTGAGAAGTGAATGAAGGAATGAAAACAAGTCACACCTTCTTACATGATCCGTTTGCAGTGATCATTGCCAGATTAACAGCTTCAAGTTCCTTGGCTCTTAAGAGTTCTAACATTTTGTTGAAATGGTTTGCATTCCCTTCTATTGAAACAACCAATCGACTAAAATTGTCAATTGTGTGCCGAGTGTTTGAAAAAGTGTCGTTCTAAAAATAACATCCTAAAAGCGACAATATCTCTCTTTCACTTACGGCAATTGGTGGAGCCTTTCCAGTGATCGTATCCTTAACCCATTGAAATTGTTCATTTGTCACTTTGCTTGCAGTCTTGTACCATGATTTGAATTTCGAGTCAAGACTGCCAGACATCCTAACAAAAGATATTATGGATGAGTTTTCCAGTCCCCAAGATCTGTATCCATCTGGTCTCAATCGTGGACATTTCTATCCACTTTGAATGAGAATCGACGAAGTATGTCGAATTTAAATCAATTATCCTCTTTTCATGATGATCCTATAGGGATCCCCATGGGATATCCATAGGAGGATATCATAGGATCTGTATAGGATCCCCATAGCTCTATGATATGAACCACCCTTTGTATTTGTCCCAATCTCCACTTCTCTCTCGTCAGAAAATCAAGAAATGGCAGGAGGAACACCCCAAGCGTCCATTTTTCTCGTTAGAGTTCTTTCCTCCAAAAACAGAAATGGGTGTTTTGAATTTGTATGATCGCTTTGATCGGTTTACTCTTCTCAATCCTCTCTGGATCGATATGGACGTGGGGGGCTGGAGGGACAACATCAGAAAAGACACTCGAATTGTCAGCTCATGCGTTAAAATTTCATGGTTTAGAGCCTCTGATGCATTTGACGTGTACGAACATGTCAGAAAGACTGCTTGAAGAAACGCTTGCTCGAGTGAGTAATGATGATGAAGAACTATGAAGGATTTCTTTCTCGAACACTTTTCGGGAAGCGGCTTTAATAGACGAATGTCCCAAACCTACGGACAAAAGAAACGTCTTGTTGCAGGAAATTGATGACTCTGTCCTTCTATTGATTTTTATTGATTTCTGTTTGTTGCAGTGCGTTCAAAAAGGTATCCGTAATCTTCTTGCCCTTCGAGGTGATCCTCCGACGGACAACGCGGATTGGAGAGCAGGTGAAGGTCGATTTCAATATGCAATTGATCTTGTAAAGTACATTAAGGTAATTTTGACGTGTCGAGTTATCTATTTGTATTTTGTGCACTTTTCTTTTTTTTTTGTAGGAAAGATATGGAGATTATTTTTGTGTTGCTGTTGCTGGATATCCAGAGGGGCATTTGGAAAATCCAAGTGTGGAAGATGATTGAAAAGACTGAAAGAAAAAGTAAGTTTCCGCAGAATTTCCATTTTTACCTCTGTTGGCCGGTTTATCCATTTCTCTAATGACCGATTAATCCATTTTTCTATTGCTACAGGTTGATGCTGGAGCTAGTCTCATTCTAACTCAACTGTTCTATGATGTTGAACAATTTGCGTCGTTCCTAAGGAGATGTCGAGCGATAGGAATCACCGTACCTGTTCTTCCGGGCGTGCTCCCCATTCAATCATACGCGGATTCAAACGCTTCACTTCATTTTGTCGCACGAAAGTTCCCCAAGAAGTTACCGTGAGTGAAATTTCAGAATAGCGAAAGACTTTTCAATCATCAATATGATGTTATAAACAATTTCCACAACAGGAAATATCACATTGATACAACGCAACAGGAATATGTAGATGATTTATATTTTCCACAATCGATAATCCATATTTTCATAAGGGGAATATCTACATTCTATAGATTCAAGCAACGGTAGTATTTAGAGTGCAATTGTCTTGTTTCAGTGGTTTCAGAGAAACTGGTTGTGTGCTTAGGATAAACTCGAGACGATCAAAGACGACGATCAAAAAGTGAAGGATTTCGGAATAGAGTTGGCAATAAAGGTTCGTCATCATGAAATTGTTTATTCGAGCGATTGAGTTTCTTGATTGTCATTGAATCATCATCCATTTTTATCAGATGTGTCGTCAATTATTACTTTTGGGAGTTCCTGGTTTACATTTCTATACATTAAATTTAGAAGTCTCTGTGATGAAGATTGTTGATCTATTAGATATTTTGGATGTTCATTTGCCGAATAGAGAACTTCCTTGGCGAGGAATTTCAACAGCACATCGACGCAGCAGGAAAAAGATCTCTGGGTCGAAGGATCATAGCATGTCCCAAACAGGAGTCCCAGAATTGAGTCTTCCAGAATCTCCATTAATAGGAATGAGTGAAGTATCATCAGCAACGCACACGCCCGAAATTGGGACACCTCTTGTAGACGCGTTGACGACGACCCAATCGAGAGAATCAGCAGATTTGGGACAGAGAGAAGATCTGTTGTTAAATTACATGAATGAGGATGTTCGTCCTATCTTTTGGAGTAATCGTCCCAAATCTTACATTCATCGGACGGCAAATTGGGACGATTTCCCGAATGGCCGATGGGGACCGCGTGACTCACCTGCTTATGGAGAACCATTTTATTCAATGTGTGTTGCACCCGATGAACGCGTGAGTTTGTTGATCTTCGCTATTATGCTCTTGTCATCTTATTTTTTATCTTATTTTTTATCTCCTTATTCATCTTATTATTCATCTTATTATTTCCATTTCATCCCATTCTTGTCTTGTTCAGTCAATTCAAGCACGACGGGAGATGTGGGGAGAAGAACTTGAATCTGTTGATGATGTTGTTAAGATATTTGTCAATTATTTGAAATTTCAAAATCCAACAAAAAGGCTTCCATGGACAAATGAAAATCTTGGCGAAGAAACACAAGTTATTAAAAAACAACTGATTAAATTAAACACTCTAGGAATTTGTACAATCAACTCTCAACCAAGAGTCAATGCTGCTTTATCAACCGATCCATTATTTGGATGGGGACCATCTGGAGGATTTGTATTTCAGAAATCATATATAGAGTTCTTTTGTTCCCCCGATTTATGGAACAGAATTCATTCTTATTTAACAACTGATTACAAATCTCAATCATTGAGCTTCATGGCGCTGAATCAATCAGTGAGTGTCATTTGAGTACATTGCTGCCATAGAGCGATACAATCATATCTTGAATAAGATCAATTATTACAATAATATCTTAAGATTCGATCACATATTCATTTGCATCAGTGAAATGGTGTGGTCATTGAGAACGATTCACATCATCATAGAATTGATTCAGTCAATGATTAAAAGACGTTGTAAAAAACTCGAGTGAATTGAAGAATTGGGACTCTGAATGAAATCTTTCTTTTTTTATTTCTTCTGTTAGGGTCAAATGACAACAAATGTTCAAACATTTGGGGGAAAATCAGGAGTAAATGCTGTAACCTGGGGAGTGTTTCCAAATGCAGAAATTCGCCAGCCAACAATTGTTGATTTAGATAGCTTTAATGCATGGAAGGCTGAAGCTTTCCAGTTGTGGCAAGTAGAATGGGCATCAATTTATGACGAGGGAAGCCCCTCTCGTGTTCTTATTGATCAGGTGGGCTAAATGGACACATTCATGTTTTGGGACATCTTACACTAGATGACATAAGATATTCCGAATCCACTTGTTTATATTTTTCAGATTTGTAATTCGTGGTATCTCGTCAATATCGTCGATAATAATTTCCTGTCTGGAGATCTTTTTGGACAGTTAATAGAAATTGTCCAAGAACACTAAATTTGTTTTTTCCTATTGAGATAGAAGCAGGTCAACTGCCCTAGTCCACAATTCCGGACCTTTACTCTATCTGTTCCAATTCTACTTTCAAATGTCGGCACATAATGGGAAAATGTTAATTTCTGCTGATGCGTTGGATGACTTTCTTATCCTACTTCTTCACGCTAGCGACTCTGAAGGCGAAATCAAACCATCCAATCCTGTAAATTCACTTGGAAACGCGTCCTCTTTAAGGGCTTTTATTCAAATCGTTGATCCAGACATCCGACTTCCTCCACCGACTTCTGAACTCATTTCTAATTTGGATGACATCAAAACAATATTGGGCGAGATTGAACAATCACTTCGGGGAAGACATGCGGATGAAATTCGAGAGTTAGGAGTCGAGTTTCTGAAATTATCTGTTGACGAAGAGATTTCAATCGACTTAAAAAGACGTTTAGGAGAGATGCTCGTGATCCTGTCGGTCGAATCGTCTCGCGCGTCGGAGATTGTGGGACAGATTATGTCCGAATTGAACGAAACGACTCAACTGGAGATTCAGATGACGATCGAGAAATTTGCAGCAACAGGCGAATCAGGCAGCTTGAATGATGCGGAGTCGCTCCAACCATCCGTTTCAATCATTTCGTCAGTCGATGAAGAAGAGCCTCCTCGAGATCGTCGTATAGCGTCGTTTGCGCCTGGAGTGGTTCCACCTCTATCGCTGGAGTTGTTGCAAAAACATTTAAGGAAGGGGAAAAGGGACTCGGAAGCTCTATTGAAAACGTTTACAGGAAAAATTGGAGAATCATCGTTATGGAAGGAAAAGTATGATGCATTACGAATCGTGAGTGAAAGCAGATTGGACAGCAAGAATACTATCTCGAAATTTGATGCCCTCATTTGATGTTGCCCTCATTTGATGTTGCCCTCATTTGATGTTGCCCTCATTTGATGTTGCCCTCATTTGATGTTGCCCTCATTTGATGTTGCCCTCATTTGATGTTGCCCTCATTTGATGTTTTGACAGGAATACAGAAAATCAGAAGGCAGTAGGGAAGAATTGCAACTAAAGTTGGAACAATTAAAAAAAGATTTAGCGGAGCAAGAACAAATAAATAGGAGAATTACTAAAGATGTCAAAGAAGCAGCTTCTGCTTCACAGGTTAGTTGATCATGATGTAGAATGTCCCAATTGTGTGTCCCAAATTTGGTTTCTATTGCTGGCTGTAGAAATCCGTTGGCGATGCTGTTGACTCTTTGGAACGAGAAATTGTTGTTTTAAAACGGCGTCAAGATGAATTATTGAAAGAAAAGAAGGACGTTGAAAAAACGTTATCAGCTGAAATTGAGAGGTGAGGCACATATTTGAAATGCAAATATTTGAAATACAGCATTAAATTTAATCTAGTGGGATGGCTGTTGATTTGACTGTTTGCTTCATGTAGTTTAAAAGATGAAAATCAGCTGTTATCTGCGGATGTTGCGAAAATTGCAAAATTAGAAGTCGCAATGGATAAATGGAGGGCGAAGGCTGAGGAGTCATCTGCCTTAAAATCTCGAAATTACGAGTTAGAAAAGAAGGTGGAAGTAAGATGTGGGACATTATGGCCAGAGGTCTCTATATCGATATAAAAAGAGTCTTTAAATATATATTCGATATATGAAGAGTCTTTGCATATGTATTCGATACATATATATTCGATATATGAAGAGTCTATATATTCGATTATCAATTTGTATCTAAACTTCCTTTCTATGGACCACGATTTTTGTCTTTTTCTAAGGAGTATATGAATCAATTAATTGAAGTTGAAAACGCAAATAGAGAAGCAGTGGAAATGAAAAAATCGCTTGATTTATACCGAATGAAAGTTACAGATCTCGTGAGTCAAATTATAGATACAAACTGTTTGTTTGATTGTTCTGCTTGTTAAGGAAACTGAGGTGGCTACTTTATCGGGAAGCAACACTGAACTAGAAGCTCGAATTGCGCAACAAACAGCAACTCTTCAAGAAGCCGAGAACAGAATGTCAGTGAAATGCTTCATGGAACTCCAAAATTAGGACATTTATATTTTGTTTAGATTGGTGAGCGAGTTAAAAGTTCAAGCAGTTGCTGCCGAGTATGAAACCAAACTTCACGATGCAGAACAATTTTGTGGCGCGGTTGGAACTGGTGAGTTCATGATGGGGATGGGGGTGTATAGTCGGTAGTGCGATTGTTTTGTGGTGGTGGTATGATGTTAGTGCGTCGTTCTCTTCCATCTGGAAACTTTTTTTGGGCGTGACGCATCGAGTGTTGTTTATGTTGAGGACTTTTGTTGCGCTTTTTTAGGCATTGACTCCGATTTGAACTTGAAGGAGAAATTAATGCGATTAGAGAAAGAGAACGAGCTTCTGAGAAAAGGCGATACGAGCAACGAGAGTGGGCGTTTATTGGAAGTGGGTGATTATTTGATTTTGATGTGTCCTATGATTTTGACAATTTTTAATTTAGCTCGAGTTTCAAGTAATCACGCTCAAACGATCCAAGACAAAATTGGAAAAAGAACTTCATTCTGCTTCAGCGAAGCTTCAGTTGATGGAAGCAACAGAAGGGAAAGGATTGAATGAGTCGATGCAAGTGTGGAAGGTCGGTCTGTTGTTTGCGTTGTGGTATCATTGTGGTTCTTAGTTGGAGAAGGAAAAAGAATTAGCTGTTCAACAAGCAAGAATCGAGACATTAGAATTTCATAATAAAGTACGTTTAAATAATAAGGATGAAATATTAAGATGAAAATCTGTCAGGCATTGCAATCGCAACTCGAACAAGACAAGACGCGATTGGAGTTACAAGAGGAAGCAGCAAAAGCCAAATTAGAAGGACAATATGATTCTGTGAGTGACGACTGATTTGTATAGAAATAGATGCAGCAAGAGGAAGATTATAGCGCTTGGCTTTGCAGCCCTGGGACATTCAATATTCCTGTGTTGTCAGCTTGTTGCAACATTGAAGGAACAAATTCAACTCCGAGAACGGGAAGTTAATTTTTTGCGTTTAATGAGGTACGCAAACCAGATATTCACTCATCATCCATCTATTTTCAACAGAGAGGAGCAACTCTCATCCCAACGTCGCGAAGAGAGATTAATGTCGGCAGCTTTCCATGAATTGGGACTTCGTTATTTCCAAGCTGTAACTGAAAGGGAGCGCATAGCCAACGAGTATCAAGCGGTTCTTCTTAAGTAAGAAGCATTTCTATTCATTTCTCTGAGTTTCTCTTTCTATTCAGAACAAACCAAAAACGGAAGAAATCGGATGAATTGCTGGCGCCACAATCATCTGCTTGTCTTTCGTAGTATGAAGAGCAACAAACACCCAGAAAAGCTTCCAGAACTTAAAATTCAGAATGCAGACTGAGGCATGTTCAATGCTCTTTTGAAGGCTCAATCTTCTGAGTGCTCAATGTGAAGGGGCAAACCAAGAATGTAACGATCTCAAGCATCCTGGCGATGGTTCTGATAGAGGAGCTACTGGCCGCTGCTGCGTTGACCGATTGGGTTGTTGAGGTGGACATTCAAAACAAGTCAAAAAGACTGATTCAAATATTTGTGTGTTGGTTCATGAAGAACCAATCTGACCGCAAATTGGTTAATAGTGTTTAATTTCCTTGCGACATGAATTGAGCTATCGTTGTAAAGTAATGCCCCCGTGATCTTTTTTCTTTGTAGATTAACGCCTCGCAGACTCAGAAAGCTGTTGAATCAGTGTTCCGTCAGTGGAGGTTGCATCCTACAGTTTTGCTTCGATGAGGAGCACTAGTTCAGATTGTGGTAGCTGATGTTTCTCCGCACTCTGGCGGCACTTAGTTCATCTGTCCCTTTAAAGGCAGGGTAACAAATGTAGTTATTGGGAGAAAGGCACCCCGTGGTTAAACTTGCCTAATCAGACTTTGCATGGGGTAGTGGGTCAAATCATAGAGCTCAAACTTGTTTTGGCTCTTTTGGTAGGACACTAATAGGTTGCCAGGCATCCAAGGCAGCTCGAATCGTTTCTGTCGCGCAAATAAAAAATTGAAAAAAAATAGTGATTCTTAAGGAACGATTCAAACGTTGAAAATTGGACAAAACAGCAAGTATTGTGCAGTTGAACAATGTTTTTTAGAGAGTGAAAGTTTCCTGATGTTCAATGGTTTTTTTTCCCTGTGGTCTCCTTGCTTCTCTTCCACACCCTAACTGCTGCTCAAAGGCTGGCCAAGGTACACACTTTGAGTGGCTATGTGATCTCAACGTTGCAATCAGATTTCTGATCATGTCTTTTTGCCGCCTGAAGTTGATGCCAAAGGAATGTATGAGGAGGAGACACTAACAGATGAAGAACGAAAATGGATCTCCCATATGGAAGAAGCTCAAAAAAACGGATAAAAATGGGTATGAAACTCAGTTAGTGACAAACTGGTAAAGTGTGCTGCTGATAGCGGAGATGAGCTTCTAGATTTGAGTTCAAGTTTGACTCAACCTCAAAATCTGTTATTCGAACCACATCAAATTGAGTTGCTTGATGTAGAGGATGAAGATCGTGCAAAACACCCATACGATCTTTATTATAAATTGAACTCAGATGTGGATATGCCGCATGAGACAAATCCATTTGAGCCTCTGTGGAAGGATTCTCCTCCAGAAGGTTTGAGAAAATGGTTTCGCGCCCTTATTCCCATTTTTCGTCCTTCAGGATTTTTCTCTAAAAACTTTTCGTATCCTGCGATGGAACGACTGAGGATTTTCACTCGTAAGACTGAAATTTTGATGGTAGTGTTTGTGTTACTGTGTGTTTTACTGTTTGTTTTAATGTTTGGAAGTATTGAAGATCTTTATTTGCAGATACAGATCGAATTACAGGATTTAATGGAAGGATTCAGTGGATTCAACCAGTTACGAAACAACCAAATTTAGGAGCAAAATCGCCGGTCATGATCGCAACAATTTGTTCGAGAGGTAACTAAAAACAAAGCTGGTCACTTTAGCGATTATTTTGT